AGCAGCTAACGCTATTGCTCGTGTGCACTAGAAAGATGGTGATGCGCATGCGTCTTGGGGGGGGGGGTGCCCCCAGGGGACATTGCGCATGCGTATTGTTATCTCAATACAGCGCATGCGCTTTCCGTAGCTAGATTTGACGCATGCGTTTTCGACGCATTCTCTGGCGCATGCGCATAACCAACAAGGCGGTGGCCCGCGTACTGTGTGGCAATTCTACGCCTGCGCAGTCCAATGTGTGTGTGTGTGKGGGGGGTGTCCTCGCTTCGCCCATGCGCACTCCTAGCTTTAACTACAGGGCATGCGCTCTAGTCATGCTATGTCACACATGCGCATTGGCAGCGTAGCAACTGATTATTGCGCATGTGCACTAGAAGGTTGTTGGTACGCATGCGTTTTGGGTTGTGGGTTTTCTGCGTATGCGCGGTTAGAAAATTAGGGGTACGCATGCGAGGTGGTTGCAGGTTTTTTTTTCCACATGCGCTGTAGGCCTCCTCCTTTGTGCATGCGCAGTCTGAGTGATGCTTTCATTTGAGGCATGTGCTTTTGCCCTCCTCCGTTCATCTGCTGCACGCTCGTACTGTAGTCTCTGTTGTGTGTAGCGTGTGTGTGCTATCTCTGTTCTCTGCCTGGCCCCAATCTGCCTGCTGTGCACCATTCACCACCCACCGCTGTCTCCTACATCTTGTACACGTATACGTGCCCCACCTTTCATGAATGGGCTGTTTTCTTAAAACCAGGCTGCAATTAACATTTGTGCAGAAATTGCCAGGCCCACAGGCTTATTATGTATGACGGCTCTTTGTGATGCTATCTGGAAAATAGCAACCACATTTCGTTTGCACTACTCATCTTTATATACCTGAAGGAAGCATTGGAGCTGGCAAGACCCGGAGTTCATGTGCTGCTCCTTACCGTTGCAGTACGGTAAGGTAAGCACTGGGCGGGGGGGCCAGCAGTGAGCATGGCGGAGCGCACCGCACAGGTGTATGCACCTTTACCTTTGCAATACACATTTTTTGACACATGATGGCAGCTGCAGCGCTCTGCGCATGCACCTCCTGCCGTGTTGCGCTGCGCTCTTTTGGGCACCTGAGGGCAGGAGAGTTAACGGCAATGCATACTACGTATGCGCAGTCTGTTACACCTCTGGCGCGTGCGCAGGAAGTCACGCGGATCGGAGAGTTGTACGCGTGAACGGAATGGGCGGGGGGGGGAACGCGCATGCGCGCTGTCCCTTCCCTGTGGCACATGCGCGTTGTGGATCCCGCCTGGCGTGTGCCTGCATGGCTCCCCTTCCGCTTGGGCGAACTCAAGGAGGGGCGGCAGTCACCGAGAGTATTTGTATTTTTGTAAATAGCTATCCTCCCTTAACACCCTGGCCTCGGGCTCCCTGCGGGCTTTCAAGCGGCCTCCCCAGGCCTCCATGCGCACATGGGCATGGGTATTTCATGGGATCTATGAGAAGTCGGTACCCGCAAGGGAACTGCAAGGCAAACTCTTCCCTTTCCTCATCGATCCCAGGTTTCCCTGTGCAAACACTGGGCTCTGCACAAAGGTGCCTGTCACGCTCTGAACAAGTCAACGCGGCTGCTCCTGGCACTCGCTCTAGGTCAGACAGAGGCTTCCCCTCCACCCCACTCGGCCACATAGACAAGCTTAGTAACAAGGCAGAACAAGAACCAAGCCTGCAAACACACCTAAAGGAGAAAGAGAAGCAGAAAGATGCAACTACAACGAAGCAGTTTCCATGTAATTAAGGTGCAGGGGGCTGCCTCTTAAGCTGCTGTATATCAGCAGAAGAGCAATGTGAGTCACTTCACACCGCTTACAGACGTAGCCAGAGAGCTCGACCTCATTTTTTTTACCCTATTCAAATCCCTTTCTGCACAGCAGACGTTGGGCACCTTCAGGTCGTGGCAGAACTCAGCCCTCAACACCTTCGAAGGAAATAAAGAGATAACCAGCAGAGGGAAGCAAAAACCTTGCAGTTCAAACAAGCCTCCCTAGCGAATCTCCTCAGGGCTTTCATTGCCCCTGGATTCAAATATAAAATGATAGTGGGTATTTTCATGAGAGAATTTTCTGAAAACTTTCTTAGTTGAGCAATATCTGTTTTTTTCCTGGATATTACTATGCAGGTCTGCAGCACTGAGACACCGTGTTCTATGCAAGAGAGAGAAAGATGAATAAAGAACAACCTTTACGCTGCTGCTCCATAGGGGCTACTGAAAAGAGATTTTTATAAAGCAAAACACTAACCAGCAGCACCAACAGATGAGCAAAACTCTCAGGATTCAGGGGAATGAAGACATTCTTCCCTGATTTCAGTCTTCCTTTTCCGTTCTTCAGTTACAGCCACCAAAAATTTGATGCATCTCCACCCTGTTGGAACAGGGTGTAGGGATGGAGGAATTAGCAGACTCCGAGTGAATTATGTTCCTGTCCTTCTCATGTCTCTCAGCTAGAGCAAACCTGCCATGAAGATTAAGAAAGAACTGAGCATTTTCATTGCACTCAGTGTCAGAAGAACAGGAATAAGCAGTTTAGAGGACACTACCCTTGAGCTCCCTATTTCCCCAGCAATGAACAAATATAGAAATCTTATCCAATGCATGTCATCTAGGCCAAGCAAAATGCTGGCATCTCCAGTTCCAGCATCAACAGTATAATTTGAAGAAATCTTCTGTGGCATGGTGCTGTATTTTGCTTGTGGCTTTTAAGAAAAAAAAAAAAATATATCTTGGAAAAATGCTTTTGAGTTAAATGGTTCCCAATGGAGTTGGCAGCACTCCTGGGATTATYTCACCTGCCCAAAGTTTCTCTTTTTCAGTAGTTCTCATCTGACCTCCCCTCACAATGAAGAATCTGCCATATAGGYTATAACCATAACTGACCAGTAAAATCTTACAACACCCCCACAGTTTGGACGAGATTTTTACTGCATAAGGCCCCCGACTCCAACTGTCCAGGAGTTCTTGGCATTCATACTCCAGGCATCAGCAGTGTCCAAGCAGAAGGAACTACTACTCTCCATCTTCATCCCCTCCTTTTCCCCAATCCGCTTTTTTTTTCTCTGGTCCAAGAGAGTACAAGGAATCATCACAAGATGATTCACAGCCCTGAGGAGGCAATATGAAATGCCAGGAGAGCAGCTGTAATATGATTTCCAACCAGGTAAGAGGGAAGATATTTTCACTAGGGCCAAGCAGGCTGCTCAATAATCTTAGTCTGGCAAATGTGCTTGTTTGCCACTTTTTAGCTTCATCTCCTTGGATCCTTCACTGCTCCCCGTCCATGCAGGCAGGGCTACAGACCCTTTCCAGCCATGTCCCTGGAAGAACCCTGTCATGCCAGCTGCGATACTACTCAGGGTGCGGCAGCCCTCCAAAAGCAGAATGTGCAGCAGCAGCTTTGTGAGGTGTCAGCTCTGCAAGAGAAGAGGAATTTGGACAGGGAGCAAAGTGAATAACTGTGCAGTTAACTATTCCAGCAGGATGCGTTATCTTCCCGCAACTATTCCAGCAGGATGCTGATCCTGCAGAACTCGGTATTATGCAGGAGCTGCCACCCTTCTCTAGGATAGATGATCTGAAATCCACGTACAGCTGAAGGCCTGATCGTTATGCAACCTTTTTGGAGAGTTAAATTTTGTCTACAGGTTCCATGGCAAAGTCAGACGATAAAGTCCCTTGTGGAAACTACTGACTGGATTAACTAACCGTCTGCACTTTGTCAAGCACTTCAGGATGCTCTGAGATGAAACATGCTGCACAGCCACTAGGAAGAAGGAGCTAATGCTGGAAAATAGCTTGGACAGCATCCCAAAAGAGCAAGAAATAACATCAACCTGAACTTGAAACTCTGTTATATTCTTCTTTATTTCTAAAATGTTAGGAGAGTTACATAACTGACTGATAAATGATAACAGTTAAGGAGTAATAATAATAAAAATGATTTGGTTATAGCAAATAATAAAACAAGTTTTATAGAGCTAGTCCTCCTCTCAGCCTTGAAAGGAAGTAGAAGTTTGCACAGAGCTGAAAAGAGAAGCCCTAGGTGTAGTCTCGGTTATGTCAGCGGCCCTTGAGTCTCTTCTGGCACAGCAATATTGCACCGAGCAGCTCTGTGCCCTCACATCTGCTCTAACCTGTTTGTAAATCTTGGGCTCTGTATTGTCATCAAATAGACTGCACTGGGGCTTTATTTGTGCCAGCCAAAGGGCTCCCCCTTGCTTTGCCTTCCAAGTTGTCATTAGTCTCCAGACAACGTGTCCAACTAGGGCACAGGGAAGGTTCTAATTTGCAAAAACACCCCCATTTAAAGCAACATTTTCAAGTACTGAGGCAGCTGTATAGTTTAGCATTAAAAAGCAATATTAACTTACTATTTGTATAATAACTATTCCTTTAGGATTTGTATAAGGGTTGTTCATCTATAGAACTGCATAAAAGCTCAATAACTCTTCAATTTAAGACCTCATCAGCTTACGGAAAGATACCATTTTTTCCCCCAGATTCTGTGAAATAAACTCTCCCCTCTCCTGCTCCTTTTTCCAAGTCCCCACACAGATGCCTTAACCTTTTATCTGTATTTACTTTCCTTTCTACAGATGAGCATTCCTTCTATTTATGTCCAATTAAGATCATGGCAATGTCATTTGCATTCATCTAAGCCTAGGATTTGTGCACATCCACTCTCCCCCCTGCAAATTGTCATGCAATGGTAAGAAGAAAAAAAAAGCAGCAAATTGTCATGCAGTGACAACAAAGAAGCAAACAGACCCAAGAGCAGCAAGGCTAAATGAAACAGAACACAGGTGAAAAAAATACCTGTATAGTAATTTTCCTTTCAGGTTAGATAAATTAAATCATGAGAGAAGAGTAGCACTGTCATTACTACAAACACAAGGGACAAAAATATCAACTCCATGAACTATAATACAACTTAAGATAAGAATCCTCTTCTTTATGAAGAAAGCTTTCAGAAACGTCTTCCTTCCAAAGCACTAAGCCAGTCTGAGACCAGCTGGCATTTAACATAACCCTTCCCAAGGTCATTGCTATATCCCTATTCAACAATAAAAGCTTGCAGTCCACAAAATTTTAGTTATCTTATGAGGCACATCCAATTCTCGGCTTTAATTGAGCCGTGGAACTCACAGAGTTGTATTGAGTATAAAAAGAAAATGGGTTTACTATTATTTTAGCTAACAACATAAAATACATGTCTCAGGGAACCAAGAGGATTACAATGAGAGAAAACTTGCTACGAGCCTATGGAATGACAGGTAAAGAAGTCTAGTGAGCCGCAACATTCCACCAGGAGAGCAATAACAGTCCATAAAACAGCTCAGGCAAAGCACATTTAACTTCCTCAAAATGCTGTGCAAACATTGAAACATCATTTCTTCATGAGAGGTAAATTAGAGCCCTGTAAGAGAAAAAGAATGGCTAAAATGAAAGATAGGAGAAGGAAAATTAATTTGTCTAGAAACACGCTGAATCTTTACCAGAGTGCGAACAGAACCAGTGCTTCTGCAGCTCAACTAGCGGGTTAATTGCAAGTCCAGCCTTCTTCCAATTTTCATGTACAATATCAGCTACATACACTTCGTGCCAATGCCAAAGATCAAAAGAATACAAAGGACATACAGCATTTGGACTCGCATCTGAATCAGTCTAGGCAATATCTGACCATTACTCAAATTCAAGCTGATGATCAAAGCAAGGATGAGGAACTCATAAAGCTCCTTCTAGTGCCTGTTTCAGAGAACATATTAATTTATTTTCCCTTAAGCTATTTTGCAGCCTGGAAGTCAAATAAAATATTTAAATGCCTCTGGAGTTTATGAGTAACCCCATTGCAGGCTGGTGTCTATGTGAGCAGTCTAAGCAGTTTGAACTGGCAAGCAGAGACCTCCAACCTTTGACTCACAGACATGAAAGGGAGGGAGAAGGACATTAATGGTGATGACTTGAGACTYGCCGCCCTGATGGAATAACCAGCAGAGCCCGAGCACCTGCAGGAATGTGCCTTGAGTTTCGATCAGCTCCAGCCAAGGGCAGAGCCAGAAAGGCTGTCTGCTCTTGCACGAGGGACGAAAAGTTGGAGCTTGGGCCCAATTCAGACCCTGCTCCCCACTGGGAGGCCCCGTGGGGCTGCGCAAGCCAACGCGTAGCGAAGGCTGGAAATTCAGCTCAGCCCAAGTGGAAATGGGCACAAATGGCCCTTTGTGGCACTCAATGCAGTGCATCCCTGAGATGCTGCATCCTGCTGAGCCCTGTCACACAGCCACAGAGACTGGGGGTGTTTGTGGTGCCTTCCTTGAACCACCACCAATTCAGCACCAGCAAAAATCTCAGGATGCTCCATCCAAAGGCAGAAATCCTGGTTCAGACAGCATCTGCAAGCAGAGCACTGCTCAAAAACCACAATTTCACTACCATCCCCCCTTACCCCCACAGTTGCTCCACATCAGCTCCTCTTCACACTTCCATTTGCAACATCCCAGAATTCCTAGCCCAGTGCCATGCAGTCACCACGTTCCCCTGCGATCCCTCCTCTCCTCAGACCCCCAAAGAAGAGATCAGTGATCGTTGGCACCCTCAGCCTCGCACCGTGCAACAAGAACACAGGCCACTGTCAACGTGCACACAGTAGGAAGGGCCTCCCTTCCCTGCATGTCCCGAGGGCTGTGTGTGCCCCTTCATTTGGAAATGGGGTCCCAGCACATCACAAGCAGTCACAGAAGCTGCGCAGAACTCTTATTTTCTGTAAGTTTTCTATATTTTCTGGCTTTTCTGATACTCTAAATTGCTTGGACTGCAACAGTGAAATCTCATTTTTCAATTTTGGACCCATAACTCATTTGTGCAACTCACCTGCAGCCCGCAGCCTCTCTTGTTCATTTTATAACTCCCCTCCAACTCTTGAGCTCCTCTTCTCAGGCATTTGCTTTCCAAACAATGCCAAAGCAGTGCCAAAACCTACAAAATCCATCTCATTTCTGTCTTTAGCTCTCTCTCTGAAAGCCCGGCCAGTGAAGATCCCTGATAAGCTATTTGGTGCAGTGTGATGATGTTCCTCATGGTCTGCCCTTGGTAGGTTTTTCCTTTCAACAGTCTTTTCTCCTTTCAACAATCTATCTGTACTATAATCTTACCCTTTTTCCGGTGAGCATGCACACTGTGTGTGAGCAGGATCCATGCAAGGACTTAAGGAAAGTCACACTCCACATTCCATAGAGGTGTTCAGTCCTCTCCATGGAGAGCTTTTTGGTTCTGATCTAACTGAGACTCGTGCTGCATCACTTTAACTTCAGCTGAAAGTGTCTGCTCCTGCCAAATATAATTTGGGCTGCCATGAAACAAAAACAAATCTTTGTAAAGGGGCAAGTTAGAGGCTGTTTGTCCTTTACCTGGATCATTTAAAGTGCTAAGTGACAGCAGTGTTCCTCCTGATTTACACCAGCATATGGAGATCACAATCAGGCCTTGCTATTATTTTTCTGATGAATACACCACGTGGAAAAATGCCTGATATATTGATGGCTCAGGGTTGTGGTGCAGGTTTGATTTATTTAAAAGCAAAATGTTTGCTGATGCAGCTCATAAAAATCATTGATGCATAAGAACAACAATATCAGGAAGAAAAGTGTGTGTGGGCGAGAGAACAAAAGAAGGAAAGGCCACCAAAACCCACATCCTAAGTGCATATAAGACAGATGGTCTAACTCTTTCAGGAAGCTTTTGCAAATACCCTGGTGCTCAGTGGGGACAAAGTCTACATGAAAACTTTAAGGGAACTGGAAGAATGTGGCAGTAAGAAAAGGCATCTCTTTTCCATTTATCTGTCTTTGATTGCAGCTCCTGGTCCAGCCAGCAGCTTGGGAGCGTCTTCATTTACAATATTCCTTCCTGAAATCTGAAAGCAAAGTGGATTGGAGGTTAGCACCTGGAGAGAAAATTCAAACCACGCAAAGCAGCACACTGTGACATGGATTTAGCTATATAGTGACAAATTATTGTCTGAATTATTGTCCAGATCATCTCTGCATGTTCCAGACAAAAGTCATGAGAGCTCCAGCAAGAACAGCAGATCTAAGGGGAACACTTGAACTCTCCAGACCATCATCTTTTTGATCACATCAACTATATTCTAAATTCACGTGACAGGATACATGAAACCAAATTCTCTTCTTACAGCCACTGGCTTTTCATAAAGTGCAACCCTGCAAACTGAGGGGCTTAGAAACTCTGGATTAATACTGGATAAGCACTAGGGGACAGCTCTTGGGAAGGGAGAGCTGTTTGCTTTTCCTGGCCAAGTTAAGTAACTCTCTGTTGCCCACAATGGAATTCAATCCAAAACATTCTCTTCCACACTCATCTTCATCCCCAGCTCCACTGAGGTTGTACAGCAGGGTGCACTATTCCAGCCTCGCTAGGCTCTCTCTTTCTAAAAAGAAATCTACTTGTGCCCTGCCAAAAGCCTTTAAAAACCTAATCACTACTTTCATCTTGTGGCTTCATGATGAAAGGGCATGAAGGGAACTGGCTTCTCATTCCTGCTATCATGTGTCAAGATGTTTATGCATTCCTTACTTGTCTGTGGCTTGGTCAGCTCACTGCTGTCTCGTGTCCTCCCTCCATCCCAGAACCCACCAGAAGGTTTCCACAACCACCAGCTCGGGCGGAGCAGGTCATTAGTACCTTTGTCTAAGTCGATGACCTTTGCTGGGAAGCTTCTGGCTTGCTCCGCCTTCTCCTTCAGGATATTGTTTTTGTAATCTGTGCAAGTGCAATTTAGACAGATCAGAATATTAAAAGGAAACAAAGCTTTGCTGGCAAGGAGGACATCTGATCGGTCCAGCCCTCAGGGGGTCTAGACCTGGCAACTTGGGTTATTCAGCAAGAAAGTGTCACAACTTCATTTTTCCCCTCTGGCACGAGCCAGGGATGCATACTTTAGTTTTCTGCTTCGCATTGCTACCACAGATTCTTGTGATAAAAACGTAAAGTAATAAAAAGATGGATTTCCTGGGGGAAGATCACCTGAAAGCCTTTTACTATTGCAGTTACTTATGGAATTTTCTCACAGGGAAGTTTTCCTAGAAGCACACAGAGAAGAATTTGTCCTTGCTGTCCTGATGCTGTTGTCCTTGTCTGCCATCTATCCCTGTAAACTCTTGTTTCTTGGACAAGAGATTCTAGAGAACTGTCCTGAACTCCCTCTTTCCTTAATAAACTGCTTAATCTGGAGGGCTCTTCTTCTATTCACGATGTCTTGATCTCATTCCACATAGCTTAGCACTCACTTGAATTTAGCTTTGAGTGGCATATCAAAGAATTCCAAAACCAAGTTGCACCTTGTTACCGATCAATAAGCCTCAGTCCCTTGCAACTTGTTCGCATTGATTTGTGGCTTAAAATTCTCAAAGCTACAATTTAGATCCAGGAAGTTACATATCTTCCAACTGGACATCTAAATGCTACGAGAATATCCTCAGTGATAATGAGTTTTCATGTGGTTTGGAGAACGACTGCCAACTGACACATACCCAGCCTGATGTCTTCACTTTTGTATTGAGTCAGATCTGTTGTGTCCACTGTAAATTCTTTAAGATTTACATCTTTCCTGTAGAAGAAAGAATGGAGAAAAATGATACTGTACATCCTTTAATATCCATCTCCTTCTACACTTTTCCTTAACAGCTTTTCTAGTGCTACTTCTAGTTACTCCCTAATACATAACCATTATGCAAGTGTGTAGCTTGGGGAACATTACACTAAAAATCACTACAGGGTGTAGCTGCAAAAATGCTGGCTGCAAAGCACTGAATGAACTCCACGAAACACCTACGTTTTACATGTTTGTGCTCTAGAACAGAATGCTAGCTGAGGCTTGGGGCCCCTAAGCTTAATTTGATTAAGTATTCTAGGCCTAGGTCATAGCTGCTGTAATCATACTTACTCTCCATATTTCTTCACGTTGTATTCATAACCTAGACAGAAAGAAGAAACAGAATGAGCAGTTGTATCCAGCCCATGTAACTGCCTGCCCCAGACAAGCAGCAATAAAGTATCAGGTATCTAATTACTGGTCTTACCCTACCCAGCAAAGGGTGATAACTGCCAGCTCCTTTTCCAAGGCAAAACCAGGGTCAAAAATCTGCCCTAATGCAGAAGAACTCAACAGAACACAGACACTGCCTTGTGTTTGCTTTCTTTTGGTATCTATTTGTGTGGAAGGCACCAAAAGGTCTCAGCCTCCACTTTCTCACTGTAAAGAGAGAGTCTCCCCAGTGCAGAAGAGCCAGCAAAGACTTAAACCTCCTAGTCCCTAAGAAACACACACAGGTCTTCTCCCTAGGTGAATTCCACCTGCAAAGAGCAACTATCCAGTGGTTCTATTTTTTTTTTCTCCCCGCTCCCTTATACCAGAACAATTCAGCAAATCAAGGCCTGGAAATCTTTATAATATATTAATGAAGAATTTCTCTTCAGGTAAACTTCTGCAGACTCCCCCACTTTGAAGGCTGCAGGTTCTACAGAGCAGATCACTGCCTTCAGCACTGCGCTCTGCAGGAGTTACTTGCAGGATCATCTCCCTCATTCTGAGGACATTCCTCACGTATCCTGAGGATGCTCCTCAGGTAAGAACAAGCGTGGTCTTTTCCAGTGCATACCTCTCTGCCGGTGCTTGCGGGTGACGAGAACAGCTATGATGAGGAGGACGAGGAAGAGCAGCAGAGTTGCCAGGATGTAGCCCAGCTGCTGGAAGAAGTGTATTCGGCTTTCAGGAATGATGACATTTATCACGTTGTGGCCTCTGACAACACTTGGATCTAATTGACAAGAGAAAGGAAAATAAATAAATGAATAAAAACAGGCCGACTATTATAACTGGCATCCAAAGCAAAGCAGGGTTCCATATGTGGAATCTAAACGTGAGCTCAGTTAAACATGACCACTGAATGTTCCCCCTCTTAATAGCAATGGGCTGTTCTTGTTTACAGCGGTCCGGACAGAATCTACCCTAGACAGATAGTCCCAAGTCTTTCTGCAGGATAACAGCCCTACTCTGCTCTAGGCTGTTACTTCAGTTCCAGACAGCTGAAGTATGAAGCAACCTCTCCCTGCCAAGGGGGATCATTTACAGAGCAGAAGGAATTTTCAGCACCACAGAATGAATTTCCTTGTAAATAAAAAGCAATAAAATAAATAGAATATAAACTCACAAAGAAAAGCCAAGACTCCATTCCATTTCTGGGTGCAGCAGCATTTTAGTTCCTCAGCACAGGGAATAGTAACTCTAAACTTTTACATGGAGCATTTTCGTAGATTTCAAATAAATAGGTCAATGTTTTACACATGCAAAGGGGAAGCAGCTTCTCTGCTTGCATCAGTGACGGATGGACAGATCGGGCCCAGACACGGACAACAAACCCATTAGACATATGGGGCTGCAGTAATTTTTTCTGTTTCCTCACACCGTACAGGAAAAAAGTTCATTCTTGATCAGATCTTTCCTGAATTGCAGTCACCAGAAATTCTGCCATTTATTTATTTCAGAGGAAACAGAACTGATTTACTTATTTTTTTTAAACAGTGATCATAAGGAGTCCAATGTGACTAACCTAAAGGAAGGTGACCCCAGCCATCGTGAACTGAAGCTGCCTCTTTTTAGCTAGTGCTGGAACATGCCTCTGAAACAAGATCAGCAGCCACCCAGCACCACACGGTGACACGAGACAACAGCAGGAAATATGGCAGAGAGAATACAGACCACCAGATTGCGGAGCAGAAAGCAAACAAGCAGAGTTTAACCCTCTGCCATGAGAGCAGCAATATTACACTGCAGGAATCTCAGGACTTGGGCACTAAGGTTGTGACTAAGGTTCATGCAGGTTCTGACTACCACCTGAGCAAGTAGATATCTGATTTGTTGCTGCTTAGTTAACTGCAAGGAAAGATTAAAAAAAAAAAAAAAAAAAAACCCACACAACACACACCCAAGATTCCCGGACAGGCAACTCTGAAAACAAGATTAGTTCCAATTGCGCGACGTGATCCAAATAAGGCTCATGGAGAGCAAAACAGCACCTGGCAGAAGGACATTTTTTGTTTGTCCTGGCCCCTGTGCCAGCTCGTGGCAGCAGCCGCCGCTCCTCAGTGCTACCTGGGTTTGCTGGACCCCAATCTCCGTCTCAGAAGGGAAGTTTAGGTTTCCATGACTTGAAAAAGCCAATTGCTAAAGCACAATAGACCTATTTAAAAATGTATGAAGCATGTCAAATGCCCGCAAAAAACAGCCAATAAATATTAAACCACAACGAATATTTTAAAATGTTAATAAGGAACAATACCCAGAAGACTGAAGCATTATTAAACCGAGGATTTTTATTTTAGTTTTCTGCCCGAGTTGAGCAGGTTGGTTTGGGGTTTGGGCAGGCTGTCAGATGACAACTCACTGCAGTGGAAAATGTGAAAATCAGTAAAAAAAAAAAAAAAAAA